ATCATATTATTTCACGTACATTACAATTTAAAGGAAATATAATGAGAAAATATATTTATTCGTATGATTTTTTGTTACAACTAATATTATATTTATAATTGTGCATGAATAAAGGACGAAACACAAAGTTTTCCTGGCGTAAGTTGCGAAATCCCTTATACTTGCAGTCAGGGAAGGTACCTGGTTCTCCTTTGTACATGGACGCTTGAGTCTGCAGCAAAGGACAAAGAAAGGGCCAGGTATGTACCTATAGTATGAACGCTATAGAACAGGCCCAAACAGGCCTCATTCGGCAGCTGTCTTTCGTAGAAGTGAGAGCTTGCTAGGAAAAACGAATAGTGCACGGCCGAATTTGTTCTTGTAAGAAATCATTTTGTATTTATATTTGTTAAGATAGGTGGCATGGACGTTGTAGAGAGAGGGGCCTGTGTAGGTGTGTGTGTGTAGGCGATGCCGTGCCGGTGTGTTGGTGTGAGTAAGTGAGCTCGAGAAATCTGTAGACGAACCAAGTTAAAATATAATAGTCAATAGTCATAGAAATTAGATACAACTTTAGTTACACCTACACCTATCCGATCCCTCGATTTACAACAATATTGTTAAAAAGACTCATTTTCAGGAAAACTTTATGCGTTTTGTCCTTTGTTCGTTCACAATTATAAATATAATATTTATTGTAATAAAAAATTCACAATTATGACAATATTTTTGCAGGTCAAGCATTTTATTTATTATTGACAGAGCCTCAGACAGTAACATTTCAACGCACACATTTCGAAGAAATTCGACAACATGAGAGGTCCCACTGAAGCGGAAAACGATAGCAGTGGCGGACCGGTCCACGGAGATGTGTTCTTGGTCAGCGGCGGACCGACCAGCAGCACTGAAGGAGAAATGTTAAGTGTTAATAGTAAGTGCAATACATGTTTTTGGTTCATTGTTGAACGGAGTCTAATGCAAATGTTGAAATTGGTGGTCATTGTAATGATTAATTGCCTCTTTTTACACCCAGGTGAAAACTTAGACCCATTCGACCAAATGAGTGGTCCCACTGAAGCGGAAAACGATAGCAGCGGCGGACGGAGCGGCTGCGGTGACCTGCAACGGAAGCAACAACTAATGCTGAAAAAGAGGAGAGTGCTCTCTGCATTGGCGCGGTTAGAAAATTGTGTAGAAGACGCGAAAAGGAGGAGAATAATTAAAAGACAGAAAAATAAACGTGATGAGCGTCGGACGTTCGCGAAGTCGATGCTGAGGATCTTTCGGCAGTTATCAGACCAACGCTTCTTGGAGGCTAAAGAAAAAATTGAAAAAGTGTTAAATGAAAGCTTACAGGAGCAGTACCTATCGGATGAGGAGAAGTGATGCAATTCTATATCTATACAATAATAAAAAAAGATTATATGTTAGTTCTTTTTTTCATTATCTCGTTAGAAATTTATTCGTCAATTATTTAAAAATTTATTTGTTAAGTAGAAAAGAATAAGAGAACTATTAAATCAATTTAATATTTAATACATGTGTTTCGAATGCATACCCTATGTTCGATCATTCTGCCATGGCACAATGCATCATACAATTGTGTTCTGTCAGAAATCGCGAGAAGAAGATCGCCACGATACGGGAAAAAGAGCAGCATCATTCGTTTCCCGGTATCCTTGTATGAACGGCTGTTCAGACACCGTTTACACGCACTGCTTACGCAAGTAGTAATCGAAAGTGATCTTATCGAAACGCTTCCTTAATATATATAAAAGTTTAATTTTTTTTATTCCAAAAAAAAGGAACCCCTCTTTTTGTAAAAAACTTTTGTTTGTAAGTGCTTATACAATGTTTTTTACAAGATTTTTGTATGTTTCAAGAAACTCGCAATCATAAATGGGGTCGTGAATGACAAAAGTTTAAGAAGCCCTGCTCTATACATATAATCTGTTTCTCAATGTACTTTACCTCGTGGTATCCTTTTACATTGGCCATGTCTCTCGCGGTGAAATCGTACGAATCGGTGAACCTGGCGTTAGCGACGTTGTGTTCCAACAACAATAAAGTTGGACGATTTCTCTGTCTGCCAGCAATTGTGGCGTGACATGGATGAGCCTGAAACAAAAATTATTTTTTATCATGTCGACGACGGGGTACGACGCTGAACGATTGTGCTGAATTTTGTCGAAAGAAACTTACCAGTTTGATTGATGTAGTCGCACCAGCATTGTAAAATATCGTTGACGTGGTTTAATAATTCTTTTATAAATTCTGCCTGTTGACACATATAGAAGCGTAGATTAGTGCCGGGGACTAATCGGGGGGAATTAAAAACGGGGAACTTCGAGATCGGGGTACTTCGAGATTGAGAAACTTCGAAACCGAGGGTTCTAAAAAACAAAAACGGAGAAGTTCGAAAACGGGCGATCTTCGAAATCGAGGAACTTGGAAAGCGAAGATTCTAAAAACCGAAGATTCTAAAAAGCAAAATCGAAAAACTTCGAAATCGGGAAACATTAGAATCGAGAAACTTCAAAATCGGAGAGCTTCAGAAACGGAAAACTTCGAGATCGAAAAACTTCGAAAAAGAGGGGCGGAAGGTAGGGGGAACTTGTTCAGGAACGGGGAACTTGGAAATCGTGATGCTTCAAAGCGAAAATTCTAAAAAGCGATTCTAAAAAGCGAGTTTGCAGTTATGGACACTATTGGACACAATACGGAAAAATTACGCGTGTATTAGTACGCCGGTCAAACTACGCGCGCAGTTAGTTCTCTCTCTCTCTCTGTGTCTGTCTGTCTCTGTTCGAGACTCGGTCACACTTTCAACTGCAGTGCACCGCGGCTAGATCGAGTTGTTGCAAAGAATACTATAACATAATTGGAACATGATGCGATCGATTGTCACAGCAATTTTGGAACAAAGTCAATGGTGTCTACTCTCGAAACTAGTGTGTATATTAGTCGAACGCGCACAAAAAGTAAATGCTCTGATCTCATTGTGACGATTGTGAACCACATAGGATGAAATTGACAGTCTTCATATACGTGTACGGTGACCAAGTAAATTGAAACATGTATGTAAATATATCCTTCGCTTCTCGTTCGATTTAGTTCATTGTGTTGTTTAACGCGTAATTTCCAGTGAACTTTCGTTGACGAGACGATAGAGTCAAAAGATAGTCGTCGCCCGTCACATAAGACTGTTTTGTTTAAAATATGAGCAGGGACTGGCTCTCTCGTAGATGGAGAAACTAGTCATCAAATGATCGATACTCGATTACGACGGTACAACATCCCTGGCGAATCTACTGCGATATTACTACACCTGTGCAGCCAAATATAAGTCGCGCAACAGCATTAAACTTGCCTAGTGGTGGTGGTGGTGGTGGTGGTTTGCCGAGCGAAGGAAACGCAGTGATCGGTCTTGAAGGAAATGTTGTTGACCATAAACATTTTATCGCCGGTACTGGCGTCTAACGGCGTTGACGCGATCGAGATTATTCTTTTAATGATTCACGACGACGCAGAGTTTCGAGAACCGCGACGAGCAGCAGCAGTAGCAGCAGTCCATTGGGAAAAGGGCCGATTTTGAACGAACGAATTAATCTGTCTGTAGAATTGACCAGTTGGCTATGAAATCAAAAATCAATGTATCCTGTTTAACGTTATCTTACATATTTTATTATATTTTAATGTTTTCCTAGTAGCGTGGAACGTGAGAAGAAAACAGATTTTACAGATAGATCTCGAGTAATTCTAACGGTATATCAATCTCTGAACGATATTCGTCATGTATACAAAAATTCCTACTATTAACAATAATAATAGTTAACAACACGGGCCAATTCGTCTTACGTTTCTTCTTCGGTGCAATATACGTTGTGTTGTCTATTATTTTTCCGCGTTTTCTAATAATAATAAGAAAATCTGTAAAGAGCATCAGTTTAATATTTCATACCTATTCCCACTAACTATATATACTCTATACATATAATCTGTTTCTCAATGTACTTTACCTCGTGGTATCCTTTTACATTGGCCATGTCTCTCGCGGTGAAATCGTACGAATCGGTGAACCTGGCGTTAGCGACGTTGTGTTCCAACAACAATAAAGTTGGACGATTTCTCTGTCTGCCAGCAATTGTGGCGTGACATGGATGAGCCTGAAACAAAAATTATTTTTTATCATGTCGACGACGGGGTACGACGCTGAACGATTGTGCTGAATTTTGTCGAAAGAAACTTACCAGTTTGATTGATGTAGTCGCACCAGCATTGTAAAATATCGTTGACGTGGTTTAATAATTCTTTTATAAATTCTGCCTGTTGACACATATAGAAGCGTAGATTAGTGCCGGGGACTAATCGGGGGGAATTAAAAACGGGGAACTTCGAGATCGGGGTACTTCGAGATTGAGAAACTTCGAAACCGAGGGTTCTAAAAAACAAAAACGGAGAAGTTCGAAAACGGGCGATCTTCGAAATCGAGGAACTTGGAAAGCGAAGATTCTAAAAACCGAAGATTCTAAAAAGCAAAATCGAAAAACTTCGAAATCGGGAAACATTAGAATCGAGAAACTTCAAAATCGGAGAGCTTCAGAAACGGAAAACTTCGAGATCGAAAAACTTCGAAAAAGAGGGGCGGAAGGTAGGGGGAACTTGTTCAGGAACGGGGAACTTGGAAATCGTGATGCTTCAAAGCGAAAATTCTAAAAAGCGATTCTAAAAAGCGAGTTTGCAGTTATGGACACTATTGGACACAATACGGAAAAATTACGCGTGTATTAGTACGCCGGTCAAACTACGCGCGCAGTTAGATTCTCCTTAAAACTAAGACATAACAGCATTCTAGACTGGAACCACGCTTACATCAGGACCTTTAGTTTCACTTTTCTTCACTATACGCGCGCTGCGATCGAAATTCCGAAAATCTTACATCTCTAGTAAGCGATGATCAGCTGACACGAAAACTGTTTATTACCTTTTTATTAATAATTTTACAATA